ATCACCCAAGATGTAACCAGACATATATATGGGTCATTATCTAACCCTATAAGTTACATCACTCGACCCTAAGAGACACCTACAGTCAGCTGGAGAGGAGCAAGCGCCCTATTGCTGCCATCTGACCCCCCCCCCCCCCCCCCCTACTGAAGTGAGATCAACTTTAACACGAAGTCTCCTCACCAATTTCTGGACGAAAGAGTGAAAAAGAAATTAATGTTTTTTTAGTCGACCTGACCTGACCTCACCTCACCTCACCTCACCTAACCCGTGTTTACATACCAATGGAAATAATAAGTAAACAATATAACTCGTATTTACCGGAAAACGATTAGAGCAGAACTGAACCTAATATTAAAAACTTTAAAAAATATATTATCCCGGTAAATAAGAGTGAAAAATGTTCACCCGAATTAACAAAAACTATATAACGAGCAGAAAAATTCGCGTATGTACGAATTAAAAATCAAATAAAAAAATAAAAGTTTGGTGTGCAGTGTTAAGTGAGATAACCGTAAAATTAAATTAAACTTCAGTTATATTAACAGTGAAAAACAAATTCTACAACTGAACAAATGAATAACTAAATTTGTGTATAATATTGGTCTATGATCGGAAATTTGGATTAAATGTGAGGACATTGCTTAAGGTAGGCCTAAGTTGAGAGGTAGAATATATAATAAATGATTAGTTACGTTGGGAAGCAAAAGTTAGAATGTTGTGAAGTGGTTATGAGATGAACGATATATTTCACAGTCATGATAAATGGAAACTCAGGATCAGGCTTCTCCAGGTCCGCCAACTATTGAAAACTTTCCCAGAGAGTGTGTCGGAAGGCTCATCTATTCCACGCCTACATTCACCAAAAACTGGAAAAATAACTGTGGTTTACTGTCCAGCCTAAGAATATTGAAACTCTGGCGGATTATACTGAAAACCTAACCGTGTGTATATCTAGTCAGTCGGTACGCCTGTTTCAATACAAGCTTCAAGTTAGAATAGTTGACTACTATAGTTGAGGAAAACAGACTTACCCACCCAATAATTTATGATCGTCGGAGAAAGTAAATAACTATGTGACTCAATAGTTTAACTGGCTGACCTCTCCTATGGTCCACGGGCTTGCCAGTTCTTCACGAGGTTCATATAAGATGCGCGCTTCTGACGGCTCAACTTCTCCGTGACGTCTTCACCCAAACTAAGGTAAATAGTTCTTTCTTAAGCTGTACACATCAACGCTTAGATACATGTAATCCTCACCTTCTGTTCCAACAAAATATTCTGTTATATAACTGACTCATCCCTATACTAGCTACAGACAGAGATACAGTATATAATCAAAGCAGTTCATTAACATAGAACAAATTTAGATAAAATCAATATTGAAAACTTCTTTATTCTATGAAGTTGTCTCTAAGAGCTTCACAAGTTGTCCCACAGGGTTAAATTACCTCACCTGACTACCAATAACATCTCATATAATAAACTCAGCTTAAAATTCAGCTTAAAAATGCCAGAATTCCTACCAGTTGTTAAGTTAGTCTCAAGTCACAATGAAGAAAAATTATTTAATTACAAATCTATATCATTCTGAACTTCGAGATACATTTCAGCTACAGTGATATACGTCTGTCAATAGAAAAGTTATGCAGGTATCAGATGACCGCCATACAGCGTCGACAGTTCACAGGTAAATAGTTTTTGATACTCACTATACTGTATATATATATATATATATTTTTTTTTTGACCAGTGTGGTATTCCCTGCTGGATAACGCGACATGGCTGAATGAGTTTTAGAATTGTATATGTATATGTGTGTGTGTGTGTGTGTGTGTGTGTGTGTGTGTGTGTGTGTGTGTGTGTGTGTGATATCAAAATGCCTATAGTTCGTTCGTGTGCTTTTATAAACAGAGAATAAACAAGGAAAAATGCAAATTAAAAACAAACATAAATACGAATAAGTGTGTAAAGAACTACGATAAAAGCCCATAGTATTTACACAAAACACAATGACGTCACTAACTCTACCTTTATGACGTCACAGTGTTTACATATCTATATAGGTTAGGCAAAGCGACTGTACAAACTGGTAATTCACTGTGTTGGATATATCACCTAGGATATTGTCTTACTTATAGCAACTCATCTTACGTCTAAATTCTCGAATTATCAGTTAAACATCACGTCAAAACAACACGTCAAAACAACACGTCAAAAGGATAAAATTACAGTATCCTTCTCCCAGCAATGTTTATTACACTAAAACACTCACGTCAGGCCTTTGCTAATTGTAACGTTTGTCAGCTTGTACAAAGTGGTATTAACAAAGTCATATTTTTGGGTCTGGTTTATGTGAATTCATCAATTATCGGTGAAAAATGGATCACAATGCAGCAATGTGTTTGGGGGGGAAATTTTTTTTTAGCGTAGCTTTTACACCGTTAACCCAACACTAATGGCAGTTCTTAAAGACAAAGTGTAATGGCCAGTCCTAAATCTGAGACTCCTTAAGCCCCGAGAAGTGGTAAAACGTCAACACATTATCACAGATCCTGCTCTTTGCACCCTCAGTGTGTTTACAATAACGTCACCATGAAACAAACCAAAGGGACTGATCTAAAATTAAGATAACCCGTCTTTAAAATCCAAATATGTTTATTGGTGAAAATTGAAACTCAGACGAAGTTATAGATTGACAGATAGACATAACAGTAAGTATCTGAATTCTAGATTGAAGTCGCATAGTACAGTTCATCTACAATGTGTAAGATATATTTGATAAGTCCCGTTATAAACAGATCTCCGTGGAAACAGAGAAGCACACAAGATTAAGTCTAATGTCACTGCCGGATCTGTTGTGTTGTAGCCTAGATCTCCGGCTGCCAATCGTAATTATAAATTTAATTGTTAACGTTGTTTCCTGTAGAAGGCGGATGTGGAGGGAGATCAAAGTCCTTCCCTGAGTGAGGTTTTGGCACCGAGTCCGTGTTTATTAATGTCATATTTACTAAATGCTTGAAGATCACCTTTAGTCAGGAACTGTTTGTGGACTTCATTAATTGTATTTAGACGTTAACCCGAGAGACGAATTTGATAAGTTACGCAACATAATCTCAGTGCTAGAAATAACCTAACCTAACCTAACCTAACCTAACCTAACCTAACCTAACCTAACCTAACCTAACCTAACCTAACCTAACCTAACCTAGTGTCATCTTAGGATTGGTTAACATAAAACCAAAAAAAACGTAAAATACACGAACAAAAATTTCTTCCATTTAAATATAAGAAAAAGAATCAAGCAATAGGCAGAAGAAGACGAGTTCAGCATTGAGTAAACACGAGATAACGAATGTAAACAGAAACAAAAACAGAATAAACGAGGTGTAGGAAAGAGGGTCAAGGAGGAGTGTCTAGTGAGGATTATATAAAAGAAAAAATCCAACAAAAGAAATGAGGGAAAAAAAATTAACAATCCTTTAGATCCTGAATTACAGACCTGAAACGTGGATGAGATTGTGAAGAAACAAGTCTGAGGTAAAAGAATAAAGATTAGGTAAAAAAAAGTATATAAAAATATGTAAAAGTATAAAAATTAGGTAAAAAATATAAAAGTGAGGTAAAAAAAAGTATAAAATTGAAGTAAAAAAGTATAAAAAGGTAAAAAAAATCATGGTTGAAGGAATGTAAACACAAACCTTAGAGGGAAAAGTATATAGAACACTACAAGGGGAAACGTCTGGTAAGAGTAAGCTTAGTTGAGGTTAAGCTTGAGGTGTTTTTCTTTTGTTCCACACTCTTCCCTTAAGGCCGCCCTCTACCTGTTGTGGCTCCCTTTGGTTTTAACTCCAATTAAAAACACTGAAAGCCTCGCCCATCTTCACTCACCTACACTGCCAAACTGCTTAAATTTAATCTGATCAATAAATTCACAAATGTATAAGTTTTTTGTTAGTTATGAAAAATATTAAAAGAGATTTATTACTTAATACACTGATAAAATGTATATTAAAATTTATGAAGGAGATCGTGAATGAAAATGGCTTTACGTAAATTGGATCAAGTTAATATCACCAGAAGTTATATATATTTTTAAGTTTTCTCTCAATGATGAATCCGAAACATTTGATATTCTTCTCAACGCCAGACTTACGCCAGACTTACGCCAGACTTACGCCAGACTTACCTACAATACTAATAGTCCTTGCGGTCGTTGCTGTTATATAGAACAACTTCATACAAAAAATCAACAGATCTGAAAATAATTAAAACTAAAAATTTATCAATTTCTTTGTTACGAATGTGTTAAAAAAATCCCTTACATTTAGATCATGTTGAGTATTTTTTTTTATATTATAGGTCTATGTTTTCAATAATTCTATAACTATTTAACTTAAACTACTAACAACAAGTACAATATATTATGGTACAATATATATGACGTTTTAATGAATTATATTAACAAGGGGTAATAAAACACAAACTGCCAAGCTTCATATACTGTATTTACCAAACATTAGTAACATCCAGTCTTCAAGTACAAAAATATACAATATTCCAGTATGAAAATATATAAAAGAGAAATACTTGTATATAAACATGTATGGACACTGTCGGTGAGAGAGTAACATCTGTCGGGTGAAAGTAACATCTGTCGGGTGAGAGACGATACAATGTATTCAAGGCGATAACAAGAACATCATTTACTCGGTTACTTTTTTTTTTAATATGTAAACACAAAAAGCCATAAGCATGCTATACGAGTAGGGATTATTATTATTATTGTAGCAGTGTCACGCCCTCAGTATCTGTTAACGTTAATAATAAAAGCAATTTTTTTTAGTTATTTATTACACTATTAACAATGGGTCAAGTATATAGCTAACAAAGTGAAGAAAAATGTGTGTGTGTGTGTGTGTGTGTGTGTGTTTTGTCGGGTTGGGGGTAGGGGTGGAAATTAAATTACTAGGAAAAAACACATTGATGACAGTCATTTACAGTGTGTGTGTGTGTGTGTGTGTGTGTGTGTGTGTCCACGAGCATGTGTTTATGTCCGTGTACTCATGCGTATATATCTGTGTATGTGTATCCATGAGCGTGTATATGTGTATTAGCGTGTATACATATGTCCGTAAGTCAATACACATGTACCGGTGACATAATTAACCATCTTGAACTAATAAAAATAATAATCATAGAAAAAGCTGACGATGTTATATATATATTACGAGACTTGTCACAATCATAGCAACACTTAAAATATTATCACAAATATGTCAGAACAACTCTCATATTTTTGTTGATTAAAAAAAGTTTAACACGTATAAGTGCGTTGTGTCTGCTGCCATCACCAAAAGCCTTCAGCCAGTACCGTGTGGACCACTACCTCTCACTCGAGTTCCCCCACATCCTCCGCAAGTTGGGATGGTTTCCTCCGAGGCAGAATTTAACTCTCGATTTTGTGTTTCACTTAAAAACTCATTATTTTCATATACTGTTTAATGTGTTAACCAAAAATGACTAAACAGCTTAATGTGTGTCTTGAGTTTTTATTTCTGTTTATGCTTCAATAATATTAGTTGGAATATTTAATGCATTTCTTATTTGCGGAGAATATTCGAGCCAGGAAACGAGTTTTAAACTTTGTTATGCCGGGTTTCTTCGTTCTGTGAGTGCAATCTGTCCGTACCAGAGACGAGGTGAGAAGAAAATGGAGACTTGCCTGTAGGTGAAGGGGAGACTGTCATGTTCACGACAAGGGCGAGTGTCAAAAGGGGAGGTTTTCTACTTGATTCACAGTTAAGGAGAATATAAGGTTGCCAGCACACTTCAGCAGCAGGGAGGCGACGACATAAAGGTCCGGACATCCAAATTGGGTAATAATTCACCACCAAATGGGTCATTAATATCACTGAGGCTCTTGAGGGGGCTGAAGGGGGCTGAGGGGGCACTCCATCACAACCTGTCAGGTGTGAAAGCGTTGATTAACACTCTCGAATAATTGTGTTGACGTACAGAATGATATAGTAAATACTAGAAGAATTGACATACCTTAATGACCACTTTAACCAGGTACTTAGCATACCTTAGTGGTCACAGGTAATAAGTTAATTAGTTAGCCTAATAACAAACCACGTTTTAACTAGTATGGTTTACGAAACAAAGGGCATGGTTTAGTCTGGTCACCATTCTCAGCTTTCATCGCCATTTGTTATCCTATCAAAACTAAATCAAGTGAGACATAGTGACGTAAGTGTAGAGTGAAGTAAGTGTAGAGTGACGTAAGTGTAGAGTGACACACATACGGACATCCTCACACTCAACACATACTTATGTTAAGAAATTATACCACACTTATTAATTATACAACCTCCAATCATCCTATCATTGCTTATTAACTATCTATCTCGTGAATTATACATATATTCTAGATAATATTACAATTAGTGGGACATTTCTCTTACTTTCTGGTTCTGATACATGGTGCCCTCTCGACCCGCCGCAGCTGCAGGGCCTTGGGTGAACTCAAGTTGAATTTCATTTCCGCCTCAAGTGTAACTCTCGGTCACGAGCTGAAGAGGAGAGCAAATATGTGTCAAAAATATTACTCGTGTGCATGGTGACTTGGCCTAGAGTCTGCATAAACTACATTCTACCTCACCTAACCTAACCCAATTTGATCTGTTTTAACCTAACCTAACCTTACCTAACCAAGCATTAAGATAATCCACCCTCAGGTAAAACACTCCAATGGGTCTAATCTTCATATGATATTTAAACTAAAAACATCATTACCTCGTATAGAAACACCTGCCTAAAGACATTAACCTGTGTTTAGGTAGATGTGTCACGGTGATTATGTCCATCACCAGACCCAGGTACAGGTGTGGTCCAGGTGTGGTACAGGTGTGGTACAGGTAAACACAGCCGTCATCAGGAACAGGCAGGCCCCCGTGGCTTACTCTCTCTTCTCTTCTCACCTGGTGCAGTTATTGTTGACGAACCCAAGTCCTCGGCGGCAGGTGTTTATATACTCGTGCTCTGGTCTAAAGAGAGGATTAAACATTAAACACCTGATGTGATATACGGCAAAACATTTATATATCAACGTTATAACTTTATATTCTATGGCAATTTATATATATGACTCGGAGATATATCAAGAATACAGGTGAAATATATATATAGAGAGAGAGATATAACGTTGGTGTTTAATTGATTGAGTTTTATGGGTTAATACAAGGTCATAAAAGTCATATAGAAGATAGTTGGGGTAAACGTCACTAAGGTTGAGAAATAACACTGGAGACTTGACCTCATATCTCCCTCTTCCCTTCAACTAGTTATAAAAAGTCTTAAAATTCGTAAAAAAAAAGGCTGAAACTAAAGCAAATTCTTAGGGTAAAATACAGCTGTTAAGGCTTAAAATCGTCACTATCTAGGGCTTATCTCTCTCTCTCTCTCTCTCTCTCTCTCTCTCTCTCTCTCTCTCTCTCTCTCTCTCTCTCTCTCTCTCTCTCTCTCTCTCTCTCTCCACTCCCCTGAGCTAAGTACACACTCGTCTCATCTAGCTAAACGCCGTAACCCTGAAATTCGTTTATCTCTAAGAGCTGGTGAGGGCCTCATTGCCTGCTAGTGACCAGGAGGACTTTGCTTCGCTTACTACAGGTCACGAGGCAAACATTTCGTATGCAAATCAGAAGGAAAAAGGTTTAGAGTACAGTACAGATGGAGAAAAGAGTGTGTTTGGTTAATAGGAAACACGAGTAAGCTTGAACAGGGTGATTAGAGTAACGCTTACAGTAGATACAAATTCTGGTGGTGTCGTCAATGTTTTGGGGGTCGCGTCGGGTGGTAATGTTAAACAAGTGTACTTAAAGAGGTGTACTTAAGTGTACTTTTGCGACACACTCCATACAAGACACTATGAGGAAGAGTGTCTCAATAAAATGATTTGCAACGGCTCGATATACTTCTAATTTTACACGTAAGACAAAAGAAAAAAAAATGTATTTTCATTCATTTGTCCAAGGAAGGAAGGAAGGAAGGAAGGAAGGAAGGAAGGAAGGAAGGAAGGAAGATGAAGGAAGGAAGGAGGAAGGAAGGAAGGAAGGACCCCTCCTCTCTCTCTCTCTCCCTCTCCCCTACTCCCTTCTACATAGCAGCAATTTCCGTCCCTTCCCTCCATATACACAGACTTCAAGGGTAATGAATCGTGAATTAGTTCTATTGAGTTAACACACACACACACACACACACACACACACACACACACACACACACACACACACACACACACACACACAGAGCTGCCATGAATCACTCCTTACTTGGTATATATATTTTTTGTATTGGATTCTTTACAATTTCTACTCGAGTGTGAGTTTTGATGATGAGTTAAAGAGAGAACCTATGGAGGAGAATGTAATCTAGCGACTATTAAGGAATGATATAGAGGAAATATAACGTTCTATAGCTCTGGTAACATTCCCATCAGCTACACACCACGATAATAAACTTTCAACAGCGAAATATAAAATAGATTTATTTCTTCTGAGGTTATGGTCTCCTAGGTGTTAAAAAAGTTGATTCGTAACCGAGTGTGTTTTCCAAGACTGTTTTATCACCTTGAGAATAACAAAGAACAAAGAAGTCGATTCGAGAACAACAACAAAAGATTATGATTGTTTAAACCACTAATGTGTTTATGCCTGTTACTATACCGAGGTTATATTATACACCTATTAAATAAACTATATAACCCATATATAATTAACACCGCGGAAATTAACTAGGATTAACACACGTAATACAGTTGAAGTAGTGTATAACAGTTACTTACCTTAGGCTAAGTCCAGTGGATCAGTTAAAACTGTCAATTTAGACTGGTCACCTATAACTGACAGCTTTAATTGATCATGTCTTGGTCCACACGCGTAAAGTAATTGTCATTTCTTCTCATGCTCGACCGAGAGAGTGGGTGGTGGGGGGGGTTGGCCAGGGTGACCGTACATAAAGTCCGCCATCTCAAAGGTTACGGCCGTATGTGCACCAGCTGCTCCACCACCTTCACCTACTGCACAGGGAAGAGACACAGAATGAAAACAGCACAGAGGGGTGATGGTATAAGTGAGACACACTCATATATTCCCGTCACAAGCAAAAACGAAGAGTACCAATATGAAGCCAGATGCAAAGAGGGAATGTTCTCAGGTTTATTAATATTATTTGACACCGAAAAGATAATAGTAAGTTATGGTTTGACTGTACACTACCCTACACCTCACGCATCACCTTGGGGGGAGGGAAGAAAGGTTAGGTTAGGTTTTTGCCCAAGTATATTTTGCCAGAATTGTGTCCCAAATTTTAGCTTCCTCGGTGAAAGTGTGTCAGGTATATCGTCCCAGACAAACAAATAACCGACGTGATAAACAAACCGAGTAAACAATGAGTATCTCCCCCCCCCCCCTTAAACCCCTCCTCCCCCATCTAGGTTTGTCGTGGCACCTGGAGGCAGAGAGGGAGGGGGAAGAGGGGGAAGAAGAGGGGGGGGGGGGAAGAATCGGTATACAAAAAATATTTATACTTCGCTTGTTTCAATTGTTGTTTATTTTACTAAAGATCTATTGCGATAAAAGTTGGTTTACTCATTACACAAAATGGTTGGTAGTGTAGATTAAAATGTGTGTGTGTGTATGTGTGTCTGTGTGTGTGTGTGTGTGTGAGTCTCTGTGTGTCTGTGTGTGTGTGTTTATGTTTCAGTGTAAGAACAAGATAACTAATGACATAATATTTCACATTTATGTCAGCGAAAAATTGTAAAATACGTTCATATATTTTATGGAAATTTTGATAAAAGGATCGTTTAAAATTACTCAGTATATTTAAGGAGAATAAGTTTGGCCTACAATGTGTTGAGTTAGATAAAGTAATTATGTTTCCTTCAGCAATAAATTCATAACTAAAATTAAAATACAAATTATGAGAAGAGAATTGAAGGGTAAAATTTTCTCCTCTGTTGTAAATATTAGTGTAAATAGTGTCAACATGTTGTTATTATCATCTAGTTATGTTTATATCTCTCTCTCTCTCTCTCTCTCTCTCTACTTCTGCTGTCTTCAATTTTCCTATGATTATTGTAACTGTTTCTTATCCTTCATGATCCTAAATTACTATTATTTATATTTTTAAACAATTATAAGTCACACACACACACACACACACACACACACACACACACACACACACACACACACACACACACACACACACACACACACACACACACACACACACACACACACACACACACACACAAAAGAAAAAAAAATACCTATGTAGTATTTCTGGATAAACAAAAAATAACAAGAAAAATGATTAAATTGACAGATACGAGTTTTGTAGTAGACAGAGAATAGAGTGTGTGGTGGCGGAGGCGAGGGTCGGGCGGGAGGAAAAAGAGTGCGTGAAGGTGGTAGTATAAAGATGAAGTGTGAGACGGGAGAGTGTGTGTTATATCTCACCTGTTGTCTCTCGTCGTGTAGAAGGAGAGAGAGAGAGAGAGAGATAGGAAAGAGAAAATGTAGATTGATAACGATAGGGTGAAATAAACTAGAGACTGTGAGAACTTAACAAAACGAATTCATTGAAGGTTTAGTGGACATAGACGTAGCGAAGATAAATGCAAGACGGATGTTAGGAGAGACAGGAGGGAAGGGAAGAGAGAGGTAGAGGAGATGGAGAAATATAGGAGAAGAAGGAATAATGGAAGTAGATGTGGTATTATACAGACAGAAACAGACAGAAACAGACAGAAAAAGACAGAAACAGACATACAAAGAGAGACAGTTATACATAAAAAAGACAGAGATAAACATATAGACTACAGTTAAACAGAGATAGAAAGGTAGAGATACAGAGGGACATGCAGACACGTAAAATATACACTTGACTGTGATTCATTGATTTTACTTCCTTTCATATATAAAAAAATCATATATGTGTGTGTGTGTGTGTGTGTGTGTGTGTGTGTGTGTGTGTGTGTGAGTGTGTGTGTGTGTGTCGGTGCAAAAGATCTTCAATTTATTTTTTTTATTTTTTTGAGACTTGAATAAATTAAAATATTTGTGTATGTTATAAAATAGTAATATTGCCTCAAGAAATAAGACTTTCATAGCATATATTGAAGATAATTGAATTTTGATAACCTTGCCTCAGGGAGATTACCTACCAGGCCAATATATATATATATACTATGCTGGGAAGGTGATTTTTTTTTATACATACTTGATCATAATGTTTAAGGATATTTACGTTATGACGACCAACATTATTTTCACAATTTTACGTTTTTTAATACATTTTCACCTATTTTACTCTAATTTTTACACAATTTCAGGGTTTTTTTTTTTTTACACATTTTCACTTTTTAACAGTTTTTAGACAATTTCAGTTTTTTTCACAATTTCACGTTTTTTTACACTAATTTGTACACAATTTCACAGTTTCTTTACCCACTTTCACATTTTTTTACGCATTTTCACAATTTTTTTACACAAATTCACTTTCTTTACACAATTTCACCTTTTTACACAATTTCACTTTTTTTTTTACACATTTTCACATTTTTTTTACACAGTTACTTACATAGCTAACAAACATCCACACCTGTGCAATTAACTGCTGTTGAACGATTACCTATTTTCTCACTCCAACCTTCCTCTCTCATTCCTACCTTCCCTCACTGAGATACTCCTACTCTCTACCCCCGCCTAGATAAACGTGAAGCATCTGCAATTTCTTTCCTTCAATGGTTCTTCCTCCTTCCCCCTGTCTCCTCCTTCCTCCTGTCTCCTCCTTCCCCCTGTCTCCTCCTTCCTCCTGTCTCCTCCTTCCCCCTGTCTCCCCCTGTCTCCTCCTTCCCCCTGTCGCCTCCTGCCTGGATGATATTTTTCCCATGATATTCGTTATCCTCTTTTCTTAGTTTATCTGATAGATTTTTTTTTTTTATATCTGTTCGTCTGGGTTAGAGGATGTGGAAGAAAGAAAGAAGGAAGGAAGGAAGGAAGGAAGGAAGGAAGGAAGGAAGGAAGGAAGGAAGGAAGAGAGAGAGAGAGAGTTGAAAGGTACACAAACAACACACACACACACATTAGTCCTTACCTGTCATCATCTTTCGTCTCTCTGACCTGATAATCTTCTTGCCATGAGATTCTCTTTCCTCTCATATTTCAACCTACGTCAGAGAACTCTTTTTTTTTCCTATCTGCTTTCTTCCTACCTTTTATGTATTTTTTCCCCTCTCTGTCTATACTTTCTTTCCTCTTTCTCTTTACTTTCTCCCCCCCCCTTTTCTTTCTTCCCTCTCTGTCTTTACTTTCTTCGTTGTCTTTACTTTCTTCCATCTTTCTCTAAACTTTCTTCCTTCTCTCTATACTTCCTTACCTCTTTCTCTTTACTTTCTTCCCTACATACATTCTTTCCTCTTTATACTTTCTTCCCTCTTTCTCTATACTTTCTTCCCTCTCTCCCTATACTTTCCCCCCTCTCCCCATCTTTACTTTCCTCTTTCTCTATACTTTTTTCCCCCACTGTCTTTACTTTCTTCCCTCTCTTTCTTTACTTTCTTCTAATCTTAACAACCTTTCGTATATAATCCTCCATTTTATCCACCTGCCTCACCTGAAATCGAACCTGTTGGATGATCAGGTGGGGCGAGGATTTTATTTCTTCTACTGCTGTCAGCTGGTTCGTCTTCCTGCTGCCTTCTGACCAGTAAACACCGCACCAACACCACCATTAACACCACCACCAACACCGCCACTACCACCACAACCACCACTAAATTCCCCATCAATACACCTGCTTCCGAACTCAAGGCTGGGACATCCTCTTCCACTTTCTCATCTCCTGGAAAAGAAAAATGGAAATGATTTATAAGTCGTGGGATAAAGATTGAGTTTGAGAGATATTGAATGGGATGTGTGAGTGTCTCTTTTAGTAAAGGGATAAAGAGTGATATTATCTTCTACTGGAAAGATGTAACATAGGTTCAGGTGTTCCAGGGGAGGAGGTGAAATTGTATGAAATATTCTTAATTTTTTTGAGTACCTTGATACTAATGGGGTTAAGTTATTGTACTCGGGGGGTTAAGTTATGGTACTCAAGGGGGTTAAGTTATGGTACTCAAGGGGGTAAAGTTATGGTAATCAAGGGGGTTAAGTTATGGTAATTAAGGAGTTAAATCACCGTACTTAAGGTGATTGCAACACAACATAATCTGACGCAACACAACACATTACTGACGCAACACAACATATCATTGACGCAACACAATACATCACTGACGCAACACAACATACTCTGACGCAACACAACACACTCTGACGCAATAAAACACACTCTGACGCAACACAATACACTCTGACCTACTAGCAGTAATACAAAGATTAAAACTTACCAATACTGAAACAATAAAAAAAAATTAGATTTCACGATAATCAATGTCCTGACAACATTCAGCTGCACAAACACACTTAGTCTTTGATGTTGACATTTTCTCTCCCGCACTTAGACTGTTTGATGTTGTGAGTGAGTAATGCCAGTCATATCCGCCTCCTCCACCACTGCTTCTTCTTCTTCTTCTTATTTCTCCTCTTCTTCTCTCATTCTTCCTTTTTCTCAACACACACAAACGCATAAAGTCGCAAAAATACACACGCAAACACACACACACACACACATACACACACACACACACACACACCCATCTCAGTAATTCAAGAGTCAAACTGGAGAAGTCAGAATTTTAAACTAGTGTCACTTTCCTCAGACATATTAGAATAAGGTAGACGATAAATACAAAGCAATAAAGAGAGGAGAGAATAACACAAAGGGAAAAACGAATAAAATGAAAGATATAAGTTGAGAAAAAGATGAATTTACACTATATGGAGTAACTCTTTATAATGGAGTATAATGGTGGATTTCTGGAGTATAATGATGGATTTTTGGAGTATAATGGTGGATTTCAGGAGTATATTGGTGGATTTTTTTAGTAAAATGATGGATTTCTGGAGTAAAATTATGGATTTCTAGTACCAACACAAGACTACAAATGGCTGATGTTAAATTCAAAGTGAGATTCTATTCTACTTACTCATCCTGTTCTCAGCCATCTTGTAGGTAAACGCCTCGAGAGTGACTGGATCTGAACTGCCGAGAGAATTTAGGGCGACAACATTGATGACATAATCGAGTCCAGGGGTGAGGCCTTCCAGTGTAAAGTTAGCCCAATTAGAGGTCACGTTGGCTTGACCTCGTCCTGTTACTGCCTCAAAGACCTGTGGTGGAGAGGAGAGAATAGGTTTTTAATAGGTCACATAAGGTCAATTTAATCTACATAAGGTTAATAAGATCAGGGTTGATTTTGACATGACATGTGATGGATAAGAGAGGTTTTTTTTTAAGGTCATATAACCCAATTAATTTTAGAGAGAATAAACTTGAATTAAACCCGACAAAACATAGATCAGAAAACATTACCTAAGATATAAGTGTTTTTTAATATATTTCCTTTACTTATCCTAGTTTTAATCTCGTTTTAATCCAGTTTTAATCTTGTAAGCACTGCAGACTGCCACATCACCCCCCCCTCCCACCCACCGTTTATCTGGTTAACTAGAACACTTCACCCCAGAATAATTTACATAAGTTTGACGTGTGTGTGTGTGTGTGTGTGTGTGTGTGTGTGTGTGTGTGTGTGTGTGTGTGTGTATCAGTTGTATGAAGTTTTAAGTCACAAATAAAATATTTTCCAATAACTTTCAATAAAGACGTGAAAAATAAAGTCACAAAGTATCATAAATATAAGAAAGTAACAAAAGTACATAGAAAATATTCAACGTAAAGTTTTCTCGCCGTCAGTACACACAGGTAAGTACCTCCCCCCCCACCTCCAGTACACTCTCCTTCCTCCAGTTATTATATCCAGTAATTTGCTCCAGTGGAAATATACTGCTAATTGGACGTGAGAGCTTACTTAATGATCTTATAATTAACTTTAAAATAGATGACCCAGATGATTTCTGTTTTTTTGGGGTACAATTTCTATTCGTTTTATTTCGTTGCTGTTTTAGGTTTGATTATATTGGTCACACAGGCTAAGTTTTATACACCAGGTGAGGGGGGGTGGGGGGTGGTGGAGGTTTAATACTCATTGCGGGTTCGACTCCTGTTCCCCCCACAAAAAAGTTCTCTGGGTAGCTTTGATAATTATTTTTTTTCTTTTGTCTTTGTTCCAGTAAAGGTCATTCGTTGTTCAGCTCTTGTTCATGTGAGTCCTTGATCCAACTCTCCTGCTTATTCCTGGAAGTTGGAACATTGAGTCATTATTAATGTTTTTGGTGAAGGCCTGTATGTATGTATGTATGTATGTATGTATGTATGTATGTATGTATGTAATAACAATGCTGCTTCCTTTTGGTTCAGTTCTGACTTAATAAGTCTCCCCTCCTCCTCCTCCCCCTCCCTCCCCCCTCCTCCCTCTCCTCCCCTCCCCTCCCTCCTCCCTCCCTCCCCCCACACACCGTTACACTGCTACATGACACAGCAACAGTATCTCATTCATTACACTGAGTGAATGTTATGGGAGTCTAAAACAAAAGTAATTCTCTCGTTAACAAAAGCCAGGAGACTCTTACTATAACTAAAGGATTAATTGAATCTATTGCAGAAGTAAGAGAGGCTTTTGTTAGTCTTGTATAAGGCGTTTATTTCACCTAAAGATTAAATTTATCCTTTGCCAATCTAACCAAACCTAACCTAACCACTCTATCACAAAGGTTTAATTCAAATATAAATCCCCATAAACCACCTCACAATGAAATACAAAATAAACCCTCCCCAAAAAAACCCTGGGATTTGTGTATTTTTAGTCATATTTCTAACCAACACAAAATAAAAGAGATAACTAAGCGGAATTTTGGTTCAGTAAATCGTAATTCAATTGTGATATTGATGGGTTTGGGTACAAATATATATATATATACACTAGTACATATATTAAATAGTTATGTAAATAGAGGGGTAATTTATATAACTCTGACCATCTTGTAGAGGTCAAAGGTTACGTGAGAGAGAGGCATTACTTCTCGTTACAAATGGTCAATGCTTTAATTTACCAAAGGCAATATAACGCTAACTGCCAATACATGAACCAATACTGTACATGTGATTAATATTACCACTATTACAACTATTGCTTTAGCTATTATTATTACTCCAACAACTATTACTACTATCTTAACTACTGTCACTAACCCTTCGACCAATTACCTTACATCAACGCAATATAACGCTAACTGCCAATACATGAACCAATACTGTACATGTGATTAATATTACCACTATTACAACTATTGCTTTAGCTATTATTATTACTCCAACAACTATTACTACTATCTTAACTACTGTCACTAACCCTTCGACCAATTACCTTACATCAACGATTACTATCACAAACACAGAGGCAGGATAGAAACTATTAGCCTCCTCCCTTACTATCCCTCACCCCTCCCCAACCATCCCCTCATCCCTCCTCACCCTCCCCAACCATCCCTCACCCCCTCCTCCTCCCCAACCATCCTCACCCCTCCCACCCCTCAGCCTCCTCCCAACCATCCCTCACCCCTCCCCAACCCCTCCCCTCCCCTCCTCCCCAACCATCCTCCCTCCCCTACCCCTCAGCCTCCTCCCCCAACCCCTCACCCCCCCTACCCCTCAACCTCCTCCCCAACCATCCCCTCACCCCTCCTCCCCCCCACCCTCCCCTCCCCTCCCCCTCCCCCCTCACCTCCTCCCCAACCACCCCCTCACCTCCTCCCCCAACCATCCCTCACCTCCCTACCCCCTCAGCCTCCCCTCAATTCCTCACCCCTCCCCTCACCCTCCAACCTCCTCCCCACCCCTCACCATCCTCATCCCTCCCCACCCCTCAGCCCTCCTCCCTCCCATCCCTCATCCCTCCTCCCCCACTACGCCCTCCCATTCCGTCCCTATCCACCTCTCCTTCCCTGCCAAGTCATTTACCACACTTAATCTTTACGCCATCTTCTGCTTCACATAACCTCCCCAGGGAACCGATAGAAGGAGATCCTCAAACTCCCAGGGTCTTGTGGGAAGGGAGGAAGGGAGGGAAGGAAAGGAAGGGAAGGGAAGGAAGGAAGGGAAGGGAAGGAAGGGAAAAATTTACCTCAAGGTACAATAAGTTAAGAAGAAAAGTCTATGAGAGTTTAATGTTTGTTTGTGTGAGAGAGAACATATGATCAAAAAATTAAAAAAAATTAAATAAAATAAAAATCCCATCCAAATATATTTAAAAAAAATTATAAAATCGACATTGTTTATTTAATCACTCATAATCTATATTGCCTGAACTGGATAAATGTATGTAAATATTTAATGTAATTTTTTTTGGGGGGATGTAAATATAGCTGATGATTAAAAATAACAGTGTAGTGAAACAACCTCCATATACCGGACGTCTCTATATATATATATAATCCGTTATATGGAGGTTTTACATCTAACCGAACCTGGATATAACGGACATTTATCTCCATATAATCCGTTAGATGGAGGTTTTACATCTAACGGAACCTGGATATAACGGACTTTCATCATCTTTATATATTCCGTTAAATAGAGGTGTCACAGACGTTGGTACTCGTATTCCTTGAGTAGTAGTGATGTTATGCCAGTAAGTCGAGCCATAGGAGATAGTGGTGTTTGTGGAGAGTCTATGAATGATCTTAGAACTTGAAAGCCTGGAGATGGTGCGGCGAAAACAGCTGAGACCAGACACGTGAATAATTTAGAGGTGGAAGTTATCCCACACCCAGAAGCAATTGTAACGTTGATGGGATTTCCTACATTTGGTTTATAAAAATTTCGGGAGGAACTTGTCAAGATAACACCAACTGGAAATATATATCCGTCTGGTTGGTTTAGTTAGTGTAACCCGGGGATATTGCATACTAAAGTTGTTTATGTTATGAAGCTTCGGCTAAAAACACTGACGAACAATTATTGGTTTCGCTCGGGTGATGTGATTTTGAGGAGGGTAGAGCTGATACCTGACCCAACCTGACACAACTTGACCTAACCTGACCCAACCTGACATATCTTGATACAACCTGACCCAACTTAACTCAACCTGACCTGATTCAACCTGACATAACTTGACCTAACCTGACACAACTTGACCTGACCTGACACAACCTGACCTGACCTGACCTGACACATCCTGACCCAACATGACCTAACCTACTGTAGAGTCCATTAACAACTTTCGGAAATGTCTTCTTCGTAAATAAACTTCATTGAACTTTCTTGTGTATACACTCGTACGAAACATAAAAAAATAATACTAATAAATGGCTTTCAGGGAAGAATGTTGACACCTTGATTGACATATACACAACACGTGAATGATGCCACATAAACAGACACCTGACGAACACACAAACCTATAAGGCAGTGTGTAAATAATACTGTATATGTCACATCCACATCCGCATATCTGATTCACCACTACATCATAACACGGTGTGGCCAAAAGGGGGTATATTGTGTGGCCACGGGGGGGAGGGGGGAGGGGTTGTATGGCCAGAAGGTGAAGTGTGGCCAGGGGTAGTGTGTGTGTGTTTGTTGATGTCCTTGTTGAATACTCTCTGACTTTCAACAACAGACGCATCTCATATAGACGTGTAAAATATTTATGTATGTATCCAATAGAAATGAAACACTCTGTACAGCATCATAAGAAAGTAGTAGTAGTAGTTCTTCTTTTTCTTGGACTCTCTCTCCTCGACACTGACATCAGAAATCCCACATTTTCAAGCAGCCATTTCAAGTAATTCATTATTCACCATCGTCACTAATTCAACCAATTCACTTTCTCCATTTTCCTCTCTCCCATGCACCCTTTTCTTCCTCCTCCTCTTGCTCCTCCTCATCTCTCCTTCTCCTCCTAATCTTCCTCCTCCACCTATACATCTTCCTCCTCCTCCATCTCCTTCTCCTTATCTTCCTCTACCTCCTCCCCCCCTCTTCCTCTTCTTGCAAATGTATCACCTATTCATTCCCTCTTTATAATGTAACCTTTGACCTCTGCCTAATAAAACACTATAAACCACTTTCTCGGTCTTTGTTATTGTTTACATACTGACTTAAAGGGGTAAGACTAACACACACACACACACACACACACACACACACACACACACACACACACACACATACACACACTATATAGATTAAATTTCAATATAAAGATCAAATCAACGCATTGCCAACTCATAAATCTCTTAGTCAATTTGTCTCGAATCCAATGCATAAAAAATAAAGACAGAAAATCAAAACAAAATATGATAAATATAAAACAAAAAAAAGGGAGAGGATAAACTAGATGATTATGTATTAAGGACAAAAGTTAACCTGGTCCGTGAAGCCAGCAGAAGGTCGTGAAGCCAGCCAGTAATAGAGGTCGTGAAGCCAGCCAGTAAGAGGGGCTATACTCACCTTGGCAGCGAAGGTCTGTGGTAGGCCGCCGTCAAATCCTGGTGAACAGCCCACTACCAGAGAGTCGTAGGTCTTATTCACCACAGAGCATCCCACTGGTCGCTCTGGTCGACCTGTGGGAGGAGATACAGGTCATTACAGGTAAGATTAACACCCCACTAGTCGACCTGTAAGGAAACATAGGTCACTACAGGTAAGATAAGCGCCCCACTTGTCTTTCAGGTCACGGTAAAACTTTTTTTATTTTACTTCTGGGGAGGAAATCAAAACTTTCGGGGAAAAAAAAGAGAGAGAGAGAGAGAGAGAGAGAGAGAAAAAATTGAAAGTTAATGTTTGTTCCCAAGATTAGAGAAAAAAAGTGAGAGTCCAAACACTAAATAAACATCCCAAGTTTATAGTTTTATTTCACCCGAGAGAAAAAGTTTCGATCAAATAAGAGCTCTTGATTGTTGATGGATAAAAGTAATGGGAGTTTTACAGCACAGTAGCGAGCGGCCTGACTGGTGTTGTGATGAAGGTTGAGTTGAGATGAACTGGTGAAATAACACTGACTAACTCTACTGGAGGCTGGGTGGCCACTGTGTACTGGAGGCTGGGTGACCACTGTGTACTGGAGGCTGGGTGACCATACACACCAAATAAATAATTAGTTTAAGAAGATTTATCCTTAAAAAAAAAAGAGAGAAGAGGGAGGTTAGTGAAACGTGGGTGGTGGAGTGACTTTTTCAAACGCATAGGGGCAACTTAGTGAAACATGGATGGTAGGGCCCGTAGACTTTGACCAAGAGCGAACGTACATACCCTTACCTAACCTACATAAAGAAGATCATGAAAGCAAGGGAAATGAAAGCTACTAAAGCGAAACTTAAAATGTAAATCTATCGTATTTAGAAAGCATTATCAGCAGGGATAAGAGGAGTGAGGGAGGGAGGATAATGTGAGGGAGTATAGGAGAGAGGAGTATGAGAGGGAGTATGAGGAGTGAGGGAGGGTGAGGGGAGGAAGGAGAAAGATGGAGGTGAGGGGATGAGTGAGTATGAGGGGGTAAGGGAGAATGAGGGAGGGGGTGTGACAGTATAAGGGAGAGAGGTGTGACAGTATAAGGGAAAGAGGTGAGAAAACATGAGGTTAGGGAAACAGACGTATATGGGAGAGGGAAGGAAGATTAGGGGAAGAGATAAAGAGAGAGAAAAGAATAAAGATAGGGTGAGGAAGAGGGGAAAAATAATAATTAGGGTAGGGAAGAGACAAGGAAGGGTTAAGAGGATGAGAGAAGAAGGAGGAGGAGAAGAGGGAAGAGAATAAATGAACAGAAGACGATGAAAGAAAGAAAGAAAGAAAGAAAGAAAGAAAGAAAGAGAGAAAGAGAGAAAGAAAGAAAGAAAGAAAGAAAGAAAGAAAGAAAGAAAGAAAGAAAGAACACTGCATAAGCTTAATTTCTACATAGAAGAGAAACTTAATACATAAACACATAAAATCCCACGAATTTTTGCATCGTGTCTTTGTTGTTAAAATTCTTGTATGTAAAACACGAGTGAAGGATAAAATTGGATAAACTTTTACATTAATGTATTTTTCGCGTCTGTCTATCTGTCACTCACAAATAAATGCTATACTTGGCATTTATATAGGAATTATTTAACACACGTATTATAGAAACCTGGCATTTATTTCCCCCTAAAACTACGTAATTTCATGAATGAGTATTTGATTGATTTCCAGATTTCAAATTAAACTTCAAGAGATTGTTTGATTAGATAATGTTGCAGAATACCTAACCTAACTCAAACCAAACCAATCTAAACCAACCTAATCTAAACCAACCTAATCTAAACCAACCTAATCTAAACCAACCTAATCTAAACCAACCTAATCTAAGCTAAGACTGGATAAACTATGTCCCCCATCAGTAAACTCACCCACATTTACAAACTATTATTATCCTCCTCCACACATTCTTCCCCCAAACCACACTACCGTCTTGGCCAACCTTTCCAAACTTTCTTCAATATCTTAGTGGTGACCTTTTACCAACAGCTCCCCTTTCTTAAAAATGTCCTGCTGATATTTCAAGATTTTTGGGTGATGGAACAAATTTACGTTGAGTTAAGACAGGTGAGGTGTGTTTTTTAATTGTTACACACACACACACACAACACACACAAAAGTACACACTCTCTTCTGGCCACACGCACATACCTCTATCCCCTCACACACTCTCCTAACCACACATACACACTCTCCTAGCCCTCACACACACTCACTCACTCCCAACACACAAGCCACTATCCAAACATCATCACATAACATCTCGACGGTCAAGCTGGGGGTAGGGAGGGAGGGGGTGGGGGGTGTTAGTGGTGGAGGCGTCTTGCTATATTTCAAGTTTTACGTCGCCTTTATTACCTCCTTATGGAAAATCTCCCGCGACCATCTGCTTGAAATCCTCCTCCTCCTCCTGCTCCTCCCCACCATCTCTTCCTCACCCTCCTCCTCCTCCTGCCACCCTGCCTCCATGCCACCCTGCCACTGTCTCTCCAATATACAGAACGTTATATCCTCTAACCTACACCACCGTCTATACCTCTCCCCAACACTCTAATTTATCCGTATCTTATAAAACCAAAAAAAAAAAAACTCATGATTTTTTTTTTACAATGTTCTACTGAAACCAATTTTTATCTTTTCTCTCAATGTCACACCCTGTTCACTCCTCTCAGCTCCCGTGCTCCAGAATAATGCCAGGTGCTCTTGAGAGTCAGCCAGCGGTTGACATTTCCCCGATGAACCCGTTCCTCCACTAGCGTCCAATACTTTTTTTTTTTTAATGATTATCAGAAAAAATATATATCCACAATAGACGTATAAGAAATGTATAATAATCTATATACATAAATTTACTCACATTTGCTTTAATTACATGCACAAATAAAATAGTTTCAAGGAACATCTAAATTTTGGCTAGAGTCTTGGTAAGCTGTCGCCGACTCAGGCATACGACACTCACCTGCGGGGATGACAGTAAACAAACAGGGTTGTGTCATTCTTCCCACGCTGTTCTGAGCCCAGCACTGCAGTGTACCGTAGTCCTGGTGAGCTTTGGCCATAAACTGCACCATACTACGGCCATCTGAGGGCAGTCACACCACACAGGGTAAGAGACAGTGCTGCTAGTTAAATGGGTTTATTCAGGAGACACGTAGTAAAATAATCACAACAAATATAACTATAGTTAGAAAGTTAATTAGACTACAAATGATATCCCTGGCAGGTATAGGAAATTATTATAATGACTTTGAGAATTATTTAATACAGGTTAGGAAGTGTTGGTTTAAAGAGATAATGTTGTTTGGAGGGAATTAAGAAAGGATTATGGCCACAAAAAACTATACCCAGTAATGTCATTTAAGTTAACCCAGCTTAACAAACCAAGAGATTAAGTTAAGGGATTAACTCTCTCACTCTCTCTCGCTCTATCTCCCTATTTATCTACCTATCTATCTACCTACCTATCTACCTATCTCTCACCTGGCGTAGTAAACACCTGGTTGCCTGGAAGTCTCTCGGAGGTCAGGGAGTTATTGAAGACCCACGAATATTTGACCGTGGCAGGAGAGGCGACCACGTCACAGGTCACGTTGATGTACTGGCCGACACCTGCGGCGTATACCTGTGGTGGTGTGTTTCCCTCATCACACACTGGGGCATCTGGGTGGTGAGAGAGAGTGGTGAGCCAACGGTAAACAGATACAGACTAATGATGAGTAATGATGATGAAAGGAGTAATTGAAAGGAGTAAACAATGGTACATAAGTTGGTGACGATTATCTTCTTTCACTCCACAAACACACCAAGACAATGTGTTATGAACCTTCTCTGTGACTCGTGTCTTTATAAGTGACCACCGGAACAGAAGATTGTCTTATACTGTATTATAAGACACAAGATATTATTCTCATCTCGAAGGATAATCTCATTTTTGATATTGCTGTTATTATCCAGAGGCTATGTCAGCAGTCCTAGGAATGTCTTTCATGACTGTCTGAAAGGATGATTGACCTGAGCCAAAGAGAGAATTTTGATTCCATGCCTGACGCTGCAGGAAGCCGATCATGGAAGCATCTATAATCAATTCTTGGTCACGTGTCTTGGTTATTAACTTACATGAAATACAGACAGCGAGGATATCAGGTTTTGTTGCTTGTGAATGTTGTTCCAGATTAGAGTTTGACGCTGAATGAAATATCTCGCTAATGTAGTGATATTGTGGAGAACTATAGAGGCCAGAGGAGGTCTTGTATCATAACCTCTAACTCATGTTCGTCTTTAGTCTAGGTTCAAGACGGGAGACCACGGGAGGCCACTGAGACTATGACCTCCATCACGACAGTAAGCCAGTGACAGTCCTCTAGGCTAGGGAGGAACAAGACAGACACCACTAATGACTGTCTAGGAGTGAGGTGAGAATCAAGTCCTTATCTCTGTCTTGTTTAGGCGTCGATGATGAGGTGGGAGGGGAGACAAGTCATCGAGGAGAGTGGTGTAGGCAGACTCAACCCCAGAAAAAAAAAAAAACTTTACCAGCAACTTTTAACGTCAGGAAACCATAAGATTTGTGGTCTTGCGGCAGCCGATTCATTCTTTATGTTGCTTACAAGTCCCCCCCTGTGTGTGTCTGAGGGCGTTGTGTCCTGGGTTCAACTCCACTCCCATAACCTCCATTTCATCATCATTCAGTAACTCTCTCTCTCCCGCTCATCTACACAAACTGAGTCTCTTACCTGGTAATCATCACCCAGCCGTGTTGTCTCAGCAGTAAATGTTCCCTGACGTAGGGCACTGGACGTTGATAAGAGCTCAAGACGTTGTTTGGTCTCTCTCTCTCTCTCTCTCTCTCTCTCTCTCTCTCTCTCTCTCTCTCTCTCTCTCTCTCTCTCTCTCTCTCTCGTCCATAAACGTCACTATAGCAAGGGGCACTACTTTAGGTCTCATCCTCTCACCCACAACTCGTACTATCAAGAGGGGAAACGATCCAGCCTCTCCTCAGTGGCCATTCCCACCAGCAACATTCCCACCACCACCACCATTCCCACCAACAATATTCCTACCAACAACATTCTCACCAACAACATTCCCACCACCACCAACAACATTCCCACCACCACTACTATTCCCACCATAAAACCACATACACATTCTACTACTACTACAGCTACAGTGAGTCTCAGGGGAGTGGCTAAATAACCCAAAATATAACAAATGTACATAATGGTGATGAGGATAATAGCCACAGTTACCAATTTTCCAGACAAGACTCAATTGTTTCTATATTCAAACTCACTTGGTAACACTACACCTGATATATTCATCTCCTTTATGAATAGATAATATCAGTGTTGCCAAATTTATGCGCAATTCTTTTCTATTCTGTATTTATCACTGTATTATAGACAAGAGTTGGGGTACAAATTCTGAAAGGTTACTGTAAATACAAGAAGAATTTTACTGTAATTTTAATAATATTCTTTTAAGTTATTTTATCTTATTTTTTAATTTCTTGATTATTGTAACTTTTAAATACCTTGAGTACAATATTATCGGACTCAAGTAAATAGGTTATTTTACTCTAAGGGTTGAGACATCGTACTCAAGGGGTTAAATCATTGTACTCAAGGGGTTAAATCATCGTACTCAAGTGGGGTTAAATCATCGTACTCAAGGGGTTAAATCATCGTACTCAAGGGGTTAAATCATCGTACTCAAGGGGGTTAAATCATCGTACTGAAGGGGTTAAATCATCGTACTCAAGGGGGTTAATGTTATTCCTCCACTTACTAAAAGTATTCACCGCGCGACCCCTTGAGAACCTCTTGCTTCCAACCACCATCTTTATGAATACCAATTTAGTGTGGTGGAAGGGGAAGGGGGAAGGGGAGGGGGAGGGGAGGGAGGGGGAGTGGAGGGGAAGGGGAAGAGGAGGGGGAGGGGGGCGGCCGGAGCAAAAATCAATACAATATTCCTTTTAAATATAGGTTGTGTGATTTTTTTTTACCCTAGGATGAACAAGGTCAAGAGTGGCAGTGACCTTAATTTAGGATGTGTGATTTTTAATCCTATGATGAACAATAAGATAGGAAGGGATATAACTAATCCAAGTCTTATCCACGCTCCTATATTATCCAGTTTATCCTTCAACGACGCTTTGCCACTCATCTGTAGACCTGTGTAGACCACGTTCCCAGGTGTTAATTATCGTGTGATTACTCTGGCCGGCAGGTGTAGCTTACCACAGCTTACCTGGTGATGTTATGAAGGTAAGGGCGTTGTTTGTTAGGCACTGTATGTAAGGCACACACACACACACACACACACACACACACACACACACACACAGTACCTCCACCTCTGTATCATTCCGCTCGTCAAAGAGAAGTTAGAGAATGTAAACACGAGAGAAAACATTAGCAGGGAACCTAGAGTCTGGCCTGCACAACACGCCCAGTCTTCATTAAGAGACGGGGAGGCGACCTACAACCACCAGTCACCTGTCATGAACCTGTTTACACTGAGTTAGTTACACACCCCTGGCTGCAAGGTGGTCTGCATCAACACAAAATTGTATAATATTAAAGAACATGTATTGACATTTAGAAAAACTGTGGGTAAATGTTAAATAAATACAGCGATGTTTTTGTGTAAGTTTTTTCATCGCAATAAATCGTAATTTAGTGATTGCATTAAATTCTGGTTATTTTTCACAATATTCACAGGAGACGATAAGGTTTAAAAAAAATACTGCGTTGTTAAATTTGTTAGTTTAGTTATTATTATTTCACCTGCTCTTAAAAGGATAAATTATTATACTGGAATAAATTAAACCCTGGGACAGGCAGACCTTTTGTTTATATACAATGTTAAAACAAAAAACAAACAATCAGGGATACTACACTCACATCCTCTGTCAGACACACCGCCAGCCAACTTCAGCGTGTTTGTGAATTTTAATGATTAACCTTCAGTCAAACACGGTATAAACAAACAAAGTAGTGGTGTGTGTGTGTGTGTGTGTGTGTGTGTGTGTGTGTGTTGTGACGACCACCGCCACAGTGAGTTTACACGTTAGTCTTCTAGAGTGTGGAGTTATTTGTACGACCCTCACCGGTATATAGGTAGTCGTTCCAGGGGTCAGTGTATGGAGGGACGACCCATTTAGATCCGTGATGAAGAGTTAAGGGAAAACTACCGAAGAGATAATGTGCGGATATACCTAACCTAACCTAACCTAACCTAACCTAACCTAACCTAACCTAACCTAACCAAACCAAACCAAACCAAACCAAACCAAACCTAACCTAACCTAACCTAACCTAACCTAACCTAACCTAACTTAACCTAACCTTGCTGAAATAATCATCTAATTACCTGTAGTTTTAAATATACAAAATACATAAATTCTATATATTACCTGTGAATGATGAAAGACAAATAGCAGGTAAATGTCATGATGATAATGTTCTTTGTGGCGCTTTGGTCAAATAATTCATGAATGTTCTAGAAATTTGCCAGAATTCATGATAGTTTACTCACACACGAATGTAAACAAACCACACAGGAACACACACACACACGCACACGGACGCACATGAGAGAGAGAGAGAGAGAGAGAGAGAGAGAGAGAGAGAGAGAGAGAGAGAGAGAGAGATTTCACCATAACACCATAACACTGAAGGCCTTTTAGCTCCCACCTTCATGAATGCTAATATAACCAGATGAGTCAATTAAGGTGAAAATTCATTATCATTTATGCTCACCTAAGTAAAGACTAGTTATTAATTTTTTTTCATTTTTTTATTGTTGAACTCACTAATAACGTCACAAGACACCCAGACAAAAGACCAGAGGCAACTATTAAAATCCCACCGTCTATTTATACCTCCTGGAAGACTTTATGCTGTAGGAAAAATGAAAAATAATTTGGTTATTTTTCAGTTATTTTTATCTTTTATTTCATTAATCGCTTTTGTTTAGGTATGATTTTGTTTTGTTTTTATATTCTTGTTTTTGTTTATTTTCATCTTTTGGTTTTTTTTCATTTTGTTTCGTGTTAGATAATGAAGGAAGGGAAGGAAGAAGAAGGAAGAAGGAAGGAAGGAAGGAAGGGAAGGAAGGAAGGAAGGAAAAGGGGAAAGGAAGAAGGGAAGGGAAGGAAGGAAGGAAGGAAGGAAGGAAGAAGAAGGGAAGGAAGGAAGGAAGGAAGGAAGGAAAGGAAGAAGGAAGGGGGAAGGGAAGAAGGAAGGAAGGATGGAAGGGAAGGAAGAAAGGGAAGGGAAGGGAAGGGAAGGGAAGGGAAAAGAAGGGAAGGGAAGGGAAGGAAAGGGAAAAGAAGGGAAGAGAAGGGAAGGGAAGGGAAGGGAAGGGAAGGGAAGAAACACCCAACCTCCTCATCGCCTCATTCCACCACAGCTGCTCTCCCCATGAAATTATTTACATTCCCCCACGTGTTAAAACCTTCACAATATTCTCTCCTCCAATGAACAAAAAGTCACCAGTAACCTTATATCAAGAGGAACTATAAGAAAAAAAACCACTAAAACACGAGAACGATTTACATCAGTTATATAATTCCAAAAGGTCACGTTTATACAATTATACTACACTAATAAATGACTGTGTATATATATTTTACAAGTTTCATATATATTTTGTTT